CCGTAACGGCAAGTGTTTCGGTGTCTATGAGTTGGGAAAACCGGTTCTCTATCTCTCGGATCCGGAACTCATTCGCGAGGTTTTGGTCAAAGACTTCCATATATTCACTAATAGACGGGTCAGTCATGTGTTATATATTTGATACAATTTTTAAAATTATATACTCGAAAGCAAAAGTTAAATATAGCGTGATTATTCAGCTATATTTTCGTGAAAACAGATTAAAAATTGGATTATCCGTTAAAATTTTATTTAACTTTTGTCTACGAAAGGTAGATTTTTCCAAAGTTTTATGTTTTATACAATTTTAAAAATTAAAAGCATATAAAATAATAAATTTAAATAATTATTTTAATTTTATTAACATTAATAAATATACATTTTAAAATTATTTCTAAATAATAAACCTACTAAATAGTAAAACTAAACTAAACTATTTATAATTCTTAATACAATACTGTTACGCAATTTAGGACACCCGTACGGGTGGTGACCCAATATTTGAACACCAAATTTTCGTTACGAGAGATTCCCAGTGGAAAAGGATCCGCCCCGTAATATCGCCCACATTTACGATCGCAAAACTCAAACGAATGACTCCTTTAATCCTTGAATGCGTGGACACTATGAACGACAACATCGACAAAATCATTGCCAAAAGTAATGGCAATCTCTCGGCACCGGTAGACATTAAAATAGTTACCGGTGCCTATTCTATGGAGTCTACTATACAATTGGCTTTCGGCCGGAAAGTGTCGGCTCTGGACGACCCAAATAACCCTATAATAGAAAATTCCCGAAAAATTCTTAGCCCGAGTTTATTATCCATGGTTAAATTTTCAATCATAATGTTTGCTCCAAATGTGGCACAAATGTTGAGAATATCGATGTTTGATAAAAGAGTTACGAAATTTTTCCGCGATTTTACACTCAATCTGATCGATGAAAGGCAACGTGTTTTGGAAACGGGAAGTCCTGTAAAAAGGGTTGACTTTTTGCAACTAATGTTGGATTCAATGAGAGATAATAATGAAACGATCGATGGGTCTAACGATTATACGGATAGTAAGAGTGCAGAGAAATATCGGGAAATACAACCGACGGATGATATGACAGATAAGAGTGAGTATTAAATGAGTTTTAAAATGTAAAACAAATTAACTATTATATACCGTAGTGTTTAATGAATTACTTTATAATTTTAATTTACAGGCCTTTCATACGACGAGATCATAGCTCAATGCACGATGTTTTTAATGGCCGGGTATGAGAGCATTGCCGCCACGCTATCCATGTGTTTGTATACAATTGCTAAACACCCGGAAGTCCAACAAAAACTATACGAAGAAATTCATACATTTCACGGACAAAAGGTTTGCATAAATTAAAAAAATATTCTATATATCTAAGAGCGTTGTCAAAAGGGTATCAGGATAAATCTGTAACTTTACAGCTAAATAATATTTAGACATTTAGGCATGATACACTTTAGGCATTGCTCTCTCAGATATTCGTTTATACAGTAAGCCATAGACGTCCAAAATTTTAAAAATCCCATAATAGTGTTTAGTAATATTATTAAAATTTTTAACTATTCAAAACACTAGTATTTTCTGATTTAAATGTGACTAATATTTTAAGTGAAATCATTTTTATTTATCAAACAGCAAAATAATATTTACATGATTAAAATGTTAACACGTAAGAGATTTTTAAACATGCAATAAAAATATTTGAGAAAGTAACAGTCATATATGAAAAACTAACTTGCAAGTAATATTCATGGGTATTTAACTAAATGCTACTTTAATCTTTAATGTATTCTATAAACTTTAAAATACTAGTGTTGTATATACCCAGCTTAAATGGCAAATGCATACATCACTAGTTGGTCTCTGGAAACCATATCTGTGCGTCCGAGAAGAAAGCGATAATACATTTTGTTGAGGTTTAAAAAACTTTAATTGGATAACTACATAAATGTAGCATTATCTTTTAAAACTTAAAAACAATACCGATAATTATATTCAAACAATCATGTAAATGTTTATTCACATTTACTTGGATATTCATAAAGCCATCATTTAGACCATAGACGCACAGATATGATTTCCAGAGACCAACTAGTGATGTATGCATTTGCCATTTGAGCTGAGTATATACAACACTAGTGTTTTAAAGTTTATTGAATACATTAAAGATTAAAGTAGCATTTAGTTAAATACCCATGAATATTACTTGCAAGTTAGTTTTTCATATATGACTATTACTTTTTCAAATATTTTTAATGTATGTTTAAAAATCTATTCCGTGTTAATAATTTAATCATTTAAATATTATTTTTCTGTTTAATAAATATAAATGATTTCAATAAAAATTTAAGTCACATTTAAATCAGAAAATACTAGTGTTTTGAATAGTTAAAAATTTTAATAATATTACTAAACACTATTATGGGATTTTTAAAATTTTGGACGTCTATGATTTAGACAATAATTTAATTTAATATTAAAAAACAAATATTAATGTATTAAAGAATAATTTAAAAATAAAGCTTTCAGCAATAATGTTCAATTTGTACATGTTTGGCATACAGGTTTATAACAAAAATCCTGATTACCGTTTTAGATAAAAATTAAATTAAAAATTTAGATAATTTTATTAACAATTAAAAACAGAAATCGAGTGCCGATTCGTACGAATCAATAAACGCATTGAAATACATGGAGGCAGTCATCGACGAAATACTACGGCTATACGGGAACGCTATATTTATAGAGAGGGTGCCCAACGAGGACTACGAGCTTAAGGGCACCGGTATTACTGTCAAAAAAGATCACGTGGTCTACATCCCAACCTACGCCATGCATCGAGACCCGGAATACTTTGCTGATCCGGAGGCGTTCAGACCGGAAAGGTTTTTGACGGAAAACATAACCCACAATCCCTATACGTATTTGCCATGGGGGGCCGGCCCTCGAAACTGTATTGGCATGAAATTGGCTCAGTTGGAAATTAGATTGGCCCTGGTCAACCTGGTTCATCGATACGTGTTTCACACTGCAGACGTAATTTATTAGTTTATGTTATGAATTGAATTTTGAAGTGAAAATTAAATGGCATGCTAAATTTTATTTGTATTTATATAGAAACCAGTTCAGTTTTTTGGGGCCAATGGAGCACTTACACAGAAATCTGTTTACTTGAAAATTAGTAAACGTTTCTAGCAATTGATTGATATTGCTAAAACTAATTTTACTAATCATTTAGTTTAATTAATTACAATTATGGGCAATGTGTCTTATTTTATTAATTAAATATTAAAAATAACCGTGAATAAATATCTTCAATTAATATTAAGTAGATTAGAAAATTTGTATTATTCTAGAAATTAAAAATAAAACTGTTACAAACAATATTTTTAATTTATTCGACAATACTTTTTAAAATTATATTAAATTAGCAACATAGACTCGTGTTTGGATGTTTGTAATTTGAATAGATAGATATTGATTTAATAAATATTGATAATAATAATTTCGTGTTACACTCCACGTCCAGTCCTGGGCGTGGATGCGTTGAGTATCAGCACCGGGAGGTTAGCTTCTCGCGACATCTCACGGAGTGGATCCATATATGCGGACCCAATGAATAATTAAGTGATAGATAACAAACGACACTTTATTAACAATAACTAAATGAATGGTTTACATGAGATGTAGTGCTCTGTATGGGAGCTGAGAATAGACTGATTGTATGGCATAGAGAAGTCATCTCTTAAGTAGCATTTTATGAGCTAATTATGAGAATAGGTTGAGTACAGTACGACTCTAATGGAAAGTTCTATAGTACTGTACGTGAGGCACAGGTATGACTGGAAGGTGTACGTGAGGTACACGTGCTGATGAGTATTGTAGGCTGAGTCAAGGATAAGGAGTATGTGCATACTATGTAGTGATCGTTACTACAGTATCTAATACACTTTGTTACATAAATAACAAAGTTGATAATTATATTTGTAAAATGATCATGTTCAAATCTTTAATAAATAAATGGGAAATGGGAAATGGATTGCAAGACATGAATGACATGAATGTCCACGAAATGGACGCAATGCTCGACCAAATACAAGGCATCGACAGCACCGACATCATTATATTTACTTAAGGTATTATGTGTTTTGTATTTTAAATGAAAAACATGAGAAAACAACACCTGGACATAATCTAGAATCTAGCTAATATTTAAATGTTAAGGGATTACTGGAACTATGTATATAAACATATAAATTCTCAACAGATATTTACAACAAATATTTAAATCATATCGTGAAATGAATTTTTAAAATATTCACATATAAAATGGTTTCCAGATTTTAATTATTTTGGTTGTTATTATGAGAATGAAGTTTTTATTGTATAAATTGTAATAAGGCATTGTTCACATATTACGTTCGCACTTTTTGAGAAATCTTGACCCCCTCCCCTAGGAAATCAAATACCACTGAATTTATATTTAATTTAATTACAATTAAACCAATTATTTAAATCATTAATT